GTGTCGAATCGTACGGTGTCGAATAATTTGGTGTCGAATCGTACGGTGTCGAATAAATCTGTGCCCAATAATTTGGTGTCGAATCGTACTGTTGTCAAACGGAACACGCCCATAAAATCCTGCATTTGTTGAATCTTGTTTTGTTTGTTTTAATGATTTTGGCCATACTTTAAATGTATTGATTCTTGCTTTATAAGTGTCAAATTGTGGATATTTCGGTTTTGACAATATTTTGTTTAACATTCCAATGTCCTCGGTAACATCATCCAAATCGAAAACGGACACAAAACACGTGGATTTCTCGTCTACTTTTTTTGGAATTGTGTTAGAATCTACATCGGCTACATTGTCACAGGATAAGTTTTCACCAAATCGACATTGCCTAGACCACCGTCGATGATCAGCCATTATATTGTCATTTGTTTCCCATTGGCATATTTCAAGTTTACAGGCAAAACATTTCACTATATCTTTTTCACCCATGTAATAGAATCCAGCTTCAGCCAGTTATTCCGGCTTTATCTATGGGCATGACCAATCTTTAAAACTGGCTAATCGAACCGATTCGAATCTATAGTCTTCTTGACAGTTCTCCGGAATACACTGTTTAGCCATTTTGATATAAAATATAAAATTCTTTTTCTCTGCAAAACTGATGGGTAGACACAAACTACGAGCTCTTAAATACTATTGTCCCTACCGTTTTCTTTCTTTTAATTGGACAAAAGATAGACTCTTTTTCATTGAACTTGTGAGTAAGTAGCGCAAAAACGAATAATGACACGCAAGTGATATTATGCATATTGTAATTTGATATTTTCGAACAGCACGTGTGTACAAAAACAAATAATACCACGCAAGTGATAGTATTACACATATTGTAATTTTATATTTTCAAACAGCACGTGTTTTTAGTGCATCATCGCGTTGCATATGTCAGCACGATTCTTTTTTTTCCTCATAGCACAATATTGTTGAGACAAGACATGAAGGAATAAATTTCTTATTTCTGTAATATATGTAATATATTTATTTATTTAATATAGGTATTATGTACAGTACAAAAAGTACACAAATATACTTTATTTTTTGTTACAATCGCTCGTTCACAAAAACTTCACCTTCTGCTTGCAATAGATGTCTATTCTCCATAAATTCCAGTATACATGCTTTGCAGTCATAGGTTGGTCTATCACTTTTAAACAGTAGTTTAGCGCACATCATACAGTGCATTGCCCACGGTAAGAAAAATAAGGTGCTGTAGAGGGAATGTGTATCCGCGCATACAACGAAGAGATCTANTGGTCCATGTTGTTCGTAACATTCCACACATATTCGCCGACGCGGTATGCGTTGCTTGAGAGAGAACACTCGCACTTCTGGATCGGCAATATTGAGACAAACACAATGGAGCAGATCGTGATAGGTCTCTGGATGATCTATTGGTCGAACACCATCAATCAATTCAAAATAATCCTCTCCTTCTTCTATAGTATTTCATTCCATTCAACTCCTGGTGGTAGTTTCATGATCTAAAAAACGCAGAAAGAGATAAACCATTTATCCAATAAATAGCAATTCAATAAGCAACTCATCAGATAAAACAAAAGCGAATATGTACCAAATTTAGTACTTACGTTGTGAAGTTTTACAGTAGTTTCTTCTTTCTCATACTTTGTAGTTAGAATCAATTTATATGCGAATGTGAGATACGAGTTTTTAAATACTAATCACCCCACCGCTTCATCTTATTTGATTGGACAAGAAATAGTTCCTTCTTTAATAACAATTTGATTATTTAGCACAAAAAAAAGTGATATTTCGATGTTCATTTACATAGATATAAAAAATTGCATAGTTACAGTAACGACAAACTAATGTTATCAAGTGTTTCAATCACGTTCGCACGGTTTCGGCACGTTCGTATATAATATGATTTATAGTGATGATTATGCACGATGATGCTGTCTTGATGTAACAAACTGCGGTAAGAATCAAGACATTGAAATGTTTCAACCACATACGAATAAAATACTTGCATAACTGCGACAAAAGTGATATATTATTAAGCTATCTAAAAAGAACCAAGTGTTCCAAATTGTGCATTTGCGGGTTTTTTGGTACGTCTGTAACACAATCCGTTGAGATGAATAGCGACTTGATGTAACAAGATGCATACTTTTTAGTTTCACACGCATTTAGATATAAAATAACCGCATNGTCGCAGTGAAATAGATAAACCATGTACAGACGTTGCAGTCTGATATAAGTTCATTGGCATCCTGTCGGATACGAGAAAAGACACACAGAGTTTTAACACATTTAAAAGATAAAGTATAAAAAGAAGCGACTTTTGACGAGTCTCATTAGTCTCAGTCTCAGTCTCATTGTCAAGTACATCGTATCGTCAAGAAATCTACTATGAATATTATAGAAGAGTGTATCCAATAAACATTCATTGCTCAGCCAGCTGCATCTCATTTGCATCATACAGTTAATATGCTGGTCAAAAGTATAAAGACATTGAACAGTCAACTGCAGGAGTTGCAAAAACGTGACGNGGAAGTCCGTATTGGAATGAGACATGGAAATCAGCTTCCTCAGCAATTGTAAGTATCAATAATATTTGTTACATATTGCATGCTCAAACATGCGTGTACATTGTACATGTTATTTTTCAGACATGTTGCAACCAACATCATGCGAGACTTGACTGGGGTCCTGCAAACACAGACAGCCCGATTTGAAGAAATGGGAGTTATGGTCAATCAAGTGATAGGATATATTCACGCTTATGAAAATACACCGCCTCCAAGTAAGTAAAGATGACAACAAACCAAAATACACGTATTAAATAAGTATTAAACAGGTGTTCTTTTTTCTTCTTACAGGTGACGAGGAAGTAAAAGCGATAGAAATTAAACTCAAATAATTATTTATTATATTTTTTATAGTAGTTTTATATTAGATGTTTCAAATTTTTTTAATAGTAGTTTTATAGTAGTTTTATAGTAGTTTTATATTAGTTGTTTCTAATATTTTTTCTATTCGTTGTTTTCTACTATCTGTATGCTTTTATATGTTAAGTAATTGTATATGTTTATAATAGTTTCTACGTTATATTATAATAGTTTCTAACACACATTTGTATACTTTGAAAATACAATAGTTTTTATATTAGTGTGTAATATGTATAAAGTTTTCTGTTTCTACTTATAGAATACGTTAATAAGTACACGTGCACATAAAGCACATAAAAAAACCACTTGTACATCACAATTAACATAAATGAGCCGACCACACTTCCATGGCACAGTA